GGGAAAATCTCAGGCTTCGTTTCTTTGAGTAAAGCCTCTCCCGTTCTCTTCCCTCCCTTTCATTGTTCACTGAGGTCCCGACCAGCCGCTGCCAGGCCCGGGAGCCCCTGTCTCCGCAGGGGTTCTCGTTGTGGGCGGGCGGCTCTGGGCCGCGACCCTGACCCGTTCTCTCCCCGCCCCTTCCCGTGTCGGCCCCGCCCCAGCCCCGCCCCAGCCGCGTCACGGCCCCAAGGTTGAGTTTCTTGCTTCTTGTTTCTAGACGTTCCCTGTGTTTTTCACCGGCACGTCCTTTAGGACGGCCCTTTTCCTTTGGAAATCTGTTCGGTAATTTTAAACACGCCCAATGTTTACAGCTCGGTGTTCCTGCACAGAGGCTGTGACATTTCATCGTGCGTTTGTTCGTGTGCGGTGGGGTGACCGGCGACCTGGGCCCTGCCGCAGCTCCGGGTTGGGACAGTCGTCGTGGCGGCTGTCCCGTGGGCTGCACCGCAGGCTCCGTCTGGGACACCCGGGGGCTGCAGGCCACTCCTCCACGCCCGGGCGTGCGGCTCTTGTTCGTAACTCTGGGTCCACCAGCACCCAGGGAAGGGGAGAAGCTCCCGGACCCTTTCCTGGGCCAGAGTCTCCCAGCCCTTCTCTCACCTGGGACTCACAGTGACACCAGTGCCCCTCCGGGGCCCATTCCGGCATCTGCACCCCGCTTCCTCCCCCCCCCCCCCCCCTCTGGGCTTGGCCTCTCAGGGGCACTGGAGTCACACTTCTCTGCTGGTGAAAACTCGTGCTTAGCTCCTGGGACGCAGGGCGCCGTCCCTCTCTTCCTCCGCCCACGGAGCCTCGCGAGCGCGCAGGGCGAGTGATCTTTGACACGGACACGTAGCAGTCTGAGGGGCTCGCGGTGGGCGCCGGGCCGTGTCTGCCCACCGGCTCAGCCCTCCTCGGATCGGAGCTCCCCAGTGCGCTCCGTCTCCCGCCCCAGAAGGCGTTTTCTCACGCCCACAAAAACACCCTCGGGTCCAGCGGACAGCTGGCTGGAGCGGATTTCTGCTCCCTCCCAAAAGTCAGCCGAATTCTTCAGTTTCATTTTCCTTCACCAATGCTTGTTATAGTCCACTAACCATCCAAATAGTGATCAGAAAGGACGATTTTTTATCCAAAACGTACAATTAAAAAGGTACGACCTCAAAACGAGGGGGGAATCTGCTGTATTGGAAAGCGGGACCCCCTCTCCAGCCCTCCGGGGACAGAGCTGGAAGGCGCGGGGAGAGGCTGGCGTCTGAGCCGCGGCCGCTCGGTTCCCCGAAAGCAGCGTCCCCACGCCTCCCAGCGGAGGACGCAGGCCTTCAGGTGCTCACTCGCTGCACCGCAGAGTGTGGAAACTTCCCATTGTCTGGGGTCCTCCGTGGGGAAAGCCTTCAGTGCTTGCATTTAAAAATCAAGACCATAATGTTACGAAACACGGGAGAGGCATCTCCGCTTCCTCCCTCCTGATCCCAGCGCAGGGAATGAGGCTTTGTTGCCATTTGCAGTGACACACGACCCTCCGTCCAGGATGCCCCCAGCGGGCACACGCCTGGTGTTCCTGGAGGATCCCAGTTATAAAACTAAAGCACACGTAGAAAGAAAATCTCTTACTGTAAAGTTTTATTTTTAAATCTGCCCTGTACTTTTGCGTTGGGATTTCTACAAGGAACAGGCAGCCCGGTGCACGCCCGCGTCTCCACAAACGGTCCTCTGCGTTGGAGGCTAAAATCCTCAGGCCTCTTTCACAGAAAAATCTTTCCTGCTAAAACCCACCCTAACATTCTGTAGCGTACCCCTTTGTGCCCAATATGTATCTTAATGGCTGGTTTTATTTCCTATTTTTAATTTGCTTAAGTAAGGCAGATCTGAGACATTCTTATTACATTGTCATGGATTTACAGTAAGTTGTCCTCACCCTGCCAGAGGTCACTATCCACCCTCCCACACCAGAGAGCCAGCCAGGAGGGCAGATCAGACCCCAGACAGGTCAGCGGGCACGCGAACCCCTGGACTGAGGCCGGCTGTCCCCCCAATGCCAGTCTTCCCTGTGGCCGTGGTGTACGGCAGGTGCCCGGCAGGCCTGTCAGCGCGGCTCCAAATGGATCACAGCCTCTTAAGCTATTTTCCCACATAAAACCACTGGGTTCCATCAACAAGACCTTCCGTGGTGATTGCAATGTCGAGATAAAAGGGCCGAGCCGTCTTCTTGACACATAATATCCAGTTACTGCCAGGAATCTGGAAGTAACAGGAAGCAGCAGGAAAATGACACAACCCGACACAGTCCTGCTATTATGTTACGGCAGCGAGTTGTTTGAACAAATGAGATTGTTCTTAGTGAGTTTCACACTTTTTTCTTTCCTGGAGCTTGTCCAGTGAGACTGCTCCAGCGTCTCTCTCTTGGTGCCTTTGGGGAATGAGTCTGATTAGCTAAGTCTCCTCCGCCTCCCTGTGCCTCTCTTTCAAAATCCAGAGCCGAACTGTCTGTGTATTCTGAATAGGAAGAAAGATGTGACAAATGTAACAATGTCCCATTAAACAATGCGCCTCGTGAGACAGCCGTCCAAACTGCGGGAACCTTGCTACGTGCAAAGTGCAGACAATCTGCATTTTGAAACTGTGATCTACGTTTCATACACAACCAAAAGTTCAAGTTCTCTGGCCCACAGGCTGCACCGTTCACAGGGACCCACGGCAGCAGGATCCGAGGTCTTTGGCAGCCCATAAACTGTGTTCCTCGGCTTGCTGCCTGGCAGACATTACAGACGCTAATTACCCCATCTGCATCAGCACCCGGCTCTCGGCTCTGGCCCAGAACTAATCATTAACATGCAGATAGGTGTGTCCTTCTTCCCTGGTTCATCAGTGAGAGGCTGCGAACAGCTCCTGACAAGAGCGGGAAGCTAAGTGTGCCCACGAAGACACAGTAACCTCCTGGGTGTGAGAACACCCTGTGCCCAGGTCCCCGGCTCCGATCCCCTCCCAGGATAGTGCTGAGGAGCGAACTGAAGGCAGCTGCTGGAGAACCAACAAACCCAGCGCTGGTTTCAGATTCCGCTCACTGCGCCCAGCCAGCTCTCACTTGGACTAATCACTTAAACGATTTGGAAGTGGATGAATATTCATGCCTCGTGCTTTTCACCAAGTGCAGTGCAGCTGAGGCCCTGCCATCCCGCCTCCCTTCCTCTGATCTGGAGCAACGCCACCCGCAGATCTGAACCGCGGAGCCGGCCCCAGAGGACGAGGGTCACTGCAGAGACCAGGGCGGGGAGGCCCCCCCAGGGTCACCCGCCCTGGCTGGAGAGGACACAGCCCCAGGGACCCTCCGCACAGAGATGAGACGGAGCCCATTCCGCCTCCTGCTAAACGTTTCCAAGTGAGTCTGCCCCGGTGACCACAGCTGCGCTTCCTCCTTCCTCCCCCTGCTCCCGCACACCTTCGGGGCGGGTGGACAGTACTTGGAGGTCACACCGGAGCCGGATGCCAGGGCAGCAGCCCTGAGACCGTCCGGGGTGGGCAGCCCAGCCTGTCGTCCCCACTGGGGGGGCCCACAGGCTCCGGACCCGGGCCGAGATGCTTGGGCAGGAAGACCCCCAGGTAGCAAAGGCCAAGTGGCCGTCGAGGTCGGCCTGCGGCCCCTGGGGTCTGCCTGGCTACCGTGACGACCTCGGAAAGCAGCCAGCACCCCGCGGGAGCGCCGACCCCAGCAAGTCACCAGCCCTGACTCTGCCTCACTGTCCCCTCACAGCCAAGCCGTGCTGGCTCTCGGCCCAGACCCGCCGTGACAGCAAGTTGCTGAGGCCCAGGCTGCACACGGGCCACAGCCAGAGCACATCTGGGGACAGAAACGAGCAGACAGGGACCACGTGGTGCAGACCAGCCACTCGTCGCTAGTGACACAGTGCCAGGGACTCAGCAGAGGCTGCGAGTGTGTGTGAGGGTGTGTGTGAGGGTGTCAGTGTGTGACTGCGTGTGTGAGGGTGTGACATGTGCAGGGACGACAGGAGACCTCAGTGGCAGACAGAGCAGGACGTGCCTGTTCCCCGTGCGGCAGCGGTGGCGACAGTGGAAAGATGTGACGATGAACAGTGACGGAGTCACCGGGTGCAGCGGGCACCGCGCAGTTGGAGAACACGATCTGTCTCCACGTCCCCGAGGGTCGTGGAAACGCCAGGGGCCTCCGCATTCTGCGCTTTGATCCACAGTGAAGCCGAAGCTTTGACATGCAAGGTAACGACTTGACCGAGGCCGCGCCTGTGCTCTGTGAATGACCTTGAAAGAAGGTGAAAGCTCCCACCGGCTGCCAGGAACCACGCCGCGGTGGACAGTGTGTCCGGAGGAAGCCCCAAATTAACTGCAGGCCCAGTGCCTCCGCCGCACCTCTCGCCGTCGCCCACACGGTGGGCGGCCGTGCCGGGTCCCAGCGCAGGCAGACGCGGGCCGGCCGGCCCCGACTCCCCGAGGCCGCCCAGCGTCCCAGCCAGTCTGCCTTTTCCTTTGTTCTTTGCCACCAGGTCACTGCAGAGGGGACCCGGACCGGCTCTCGCTATCTGGGACGTGTCCGCAAATCACACGTTCACACTCAGGCGCTGCCCCCGCACAGTGTCAGGCAAAAGGAGCTTCTGCTGCGTTCGAATCCTGGCCCGCTGTCACGGCGGCGGCAGCGGTGGCCACGCACCCCAGCTTCAGGCGACCAGCGCAGCCTCTGCGCAGACCGCAGGGCGGGTCTGTGAGGTCGCCTCCCCCAGGCTCGTCGGCAGCCGCCCCTCCCCCGGCTGATGTTCTCACAGCCAGGAAGTGTGTGCGAAACTTCGGACACAAAACAAGAGGAGCCGCGGCTCGGCTGCGAGGCCAGCCGCCCGTCAGAGACTCCCTCGCGCCCGCGCTCTGCCCCAGGCACGACGCTCGCCCTCCGTCACCCCCCACGCGTGTGCAGAGCCCCGGTGCCCCGCCCCCGCAGGGTCGGGGGCCCCACTCACCTTCCGGCTCCCCGCACAGCGTGCACTGCGACTCTGCGGAGAGAGACAGAGAGAGGCGTTACTCGAGGGCTCCGCTGCGTCCCGCACACACTCCACGGCCACCGCGCATGCAGCTCAAAGGGGACTCGCCGCTCGCCTGTGGTGACAGCATCTCAGCCACGAAGCCAGTTCCCACCTCACGCCCGAGCTCATTTATGGAAACTACCAGGGCAAATGTTTTTGACACTACGCTTTCCTAAAATAACGATCTGTCTGTCCTGTCAAGGGCACACACTACAAGGAGGAGACACCCCCCCAAAACAGAGTGATCTCCTAGAGGACAGGCCCCTTGTGGGACAGGCTCCCCCGCTGGGTGAGTGTTCTGGGAGCCCCCCTGGATCAGTGCACCAGCTGGTGTTGTTGTGAGAGGCTGCGTTCGGCTTCAGTGAATGTTTTTTTAAGACTCAACGCCTTTGCCCAGCTCACGACGGGTGATTTATGAGCACACCTGCCCAAGCCACGCTGAGTGGTCAGCAGTTTCTGACCAAAAACCGCATGACTCCCGTGCCCCACCCACTGTTCACCTGATCACACCCTGAGAGACTTTTCTGTATTTCCGCTGATGAAAAAGTCCCCAGAGGGAAACGTTTCTGTGGATGTGGAAGAGGCAAAACAAAACAATGGCAGAAGCACAAAAAGGCCTAAAAATCTACAAGTTTAAAAACTCTTCTGATCAGTGGAAAAATGTCTCTATGGGTGGATTGCATCAAATGAGAGCACTTTGAAGGTGACTTAAGTTTAAACATGTAAGAATAAATACACAGTTTTTTTATGAATAAGTTCCGGGATTTGGGGGTCTCCCCTCATGAATATATTATCATACCTGTATAGAGCTCAACAGACAAATTTCTTTGCTGAAATCAAAGCGGTCTATTTGATCAATTTCAACGTTTGTTGTGTTTTCTTTTGAGCACAAATGATAATTAGCAAAAGCATAACTTCGCGTTTCAGGAAAGACACAGAAACCAGCCTGCGTCGCCCGAGTCCTCAACCAGCGGCCGACCTGGCATTGGGCCCGCAGAGCAGGCCGAGCGCGTCGGGGTCGCGGCACCACACTCTGGACAGAAACGGCGCCGCGCACACGGCAGACTCAGGCGTAGTGTTGCAGCCCGAACTCTTCCCGGGCAGAACTCAGCCTGGCCGCTGGGGAGACACAGTCAGCCACTCCTCTCTTCCTGAGCCACTTAGGGTAAGTGACCCACCCCCTCAGCTCGGCAAAGGAGACGAGGACATCGGCAGGGAGAGCGGGGGGACAGGGCATTCGAGAAGCCAGGTCACAGCCGGCCCGCCTTCCACGACGCCTCCTAAGCCTCGAACACACACAAGGGCACTCGGGAGACAGGTCACCTGGGCGGAGTCTCGGAGGACAGCAGGGCTTTCGTAAAAACACGGGGTGAAGACACCCCGAGACAGGGACAGGCCCGAGTAAAGGTGGAGAATCTGGCTGGAACACAGGCCAGGTGAGGCAGGGACTTACCCTGGGGACACCTCGAGGAAACTGAACTCTGTGAAAGGAGCTGAGGTTTTGGGGACAATATTCGGGGCCCACGCTGGTGTCTGTGGAGCAGCAGTGTGTCGGTCATCCCTCCGGCAGGGGGTCTCGTGCGGGGTGGGGAGAGACCAGGGCTGAGGGGCCTGAAATGCACACCCCGCCTGCGGGTCTGTAGTTGGAGGGTGGGCCCACTCTGGGGTTCGCAGGGTCCTGCCTGTCACCTTCACTGAAGATAAAGCCCCTCCCCCGATGCATCTGGCTGCAGGGGGCACAGGGATGCTCCTGTGGGAGGGGCCGCGGCGCAGAAGACACAAGTGTGGGGTCTGACCCTGCCACCTGCCCGGGGGCGGCGGACCCCGGGACCCGCCCAGGGACCTGCATGGACGGTGGAAACTGAAACTCCACAGCAGACGGGGCTCCAAGGCCACCACACTTCTTCTACCAGAAACTGCAGGCTCCTCCTTGTCCCAGAGGAGCGGCCGGCCAGGCTCCCAGCGAGAGCTACGGTCACGAAACCCACGGTGGTCGAACTGAGACGCAGAGACCGGGGCCCTCCTGAGGGAACCCGGCACCCGAGGAGACCTCGGGCTCAGGGCCGCCTCCACTGGTCCCACAGGGGAGGGGGCGGCTGCTCAGTGTGGCCTGTGTGCTCCCATCAGCCCCCGGGGTCCGGCGTGAGGGAGCCCAGGCAGCCTCGTGCGATCGGGAGTCCCGACCCCCACGGCAGAGACCTGAGGTGGCACGGCGATACCAGGGCACGGTGACACCAGGGCCCAAGGCCCCGACTCAGCTCTTTGGTGTTGACGGAACAGAGCCGAGACCCAAACCCTCCCAGTGCAGCAAGGAGGTGCCTCGTCGGGCCTGCCGGACACCAGGGCGAGGCCGGGAGTTGAGGCTGTGCCCGCAGGAGACTGGGTCTAACCGGCAGCCCCATCTCCCTCGCAGCCCCATCTCCCCCGCAGCCCCTGCCTCCCCCCCACGGAGACCCTGCCCCAGGCTGTTCCCACCCTCAGGACCGGGAATCAGAATCTGTGCCTTTTCATCACTTGCCTGACTCTTAACCCGAATTTGCATCCAAATGGACCCACAAGGACAAACCTTTCCCAGGAGGTTCAAGCTCTGTGACAAGTTACATGTTCCACACTGTCCAGCAAGTTCAAAGTCACTGACAGCACGGTAACACAGCACGAACACCGAGGACCTCGGCAGCTTCCAACCCCGGGGTCAAAGGTCAATCAGAAACAGAGGCGCTCACTCCGCCGGGACGAGAGTCTCCAGCAAACACCGTTGCAGATTCAACTAGTAACACACCTGGGCCTCGTCCTTTAAAAAATTAGCTCCCGTGAGGTGGTATGAAAGAGAGTGGCATCCTGTGGTTATGAGTCCAGCGCACGAGGTGATGACCGGTCACTGCGTCCCACAACCTGACGGTGCCTTTCTCTGAAGGGTCTGTCGCCACCGACCTCCCGGGAGGAGCCGCAAACCCCTGGAGAGGCAGAGGGTCTGCAGCCCCTCCCAGCAGGTGCACGCGGGGCAGGAGGAGGACTCTGAGCAGAAGTGGCAACTTCCGGAGCACGGAACCCCGGGTGCCCACGGCTCCGGTGCAGGTGTTAAGGTTCTGACTGGTGGGCGCCCCTGGCCGGTGGCCAGAGTCGTCCCCTCAAGAAGATGGTCCGAGCTGCTGCCGGGTACGGTCCCAGAACCCGACATGCAGCCCTGGTTGGGACCCTGGTGCCGGTGCCTCTGGCCTCACTGTCAAGGCCTTCACCCCGCACTCCCGACCTGGCCTCTCAGAGCCTGTCTCCGGAGCAAGCGCTGGCGCCACAGGCCTCCCCGGGCTCCCTCTCCACCTCGGGGTCCCCACGACTCCGACGGCCGCCCTTCCCACGGTGGGGTCTCCACCCGCAATGCGCAGGGCTCCCTGAGTCCCGGGGGAGCGTCACACAAACGCAGCCGTTTGGTGCAAAGACAGTTCCCGGAGGCAGTGGGACTGGCACCTTCACCAAATCCCTGCGCACGCTTGGCATGGAACACGCGTGTAATACGACCCTGAAACGTGTCACTGGGAGAACATAGCGTGGAACTCTCTCTGAGCCTGGTTCGCGCTGCCAGGCAGTCCGAGGCCACCGAGGCCACCGGACTTCCAACACGGGCTGGCTCCACCCTTGGGGCGGGACTAGGAGAAGAGGAAGGCGACTTCCGGCCGGGGAGCGGCTCCCAGCGCAGAAAGGCTGATGGAGCAGGAGGCAAAGAGCCGGCAGGACTGGGACAGGCCCCTTGGGGGCGACTTGACGGGGTGTGTGGGGTGAAGTCAGTGCTGGGGGGCAGGGACGGAGTCCGACGGGGCTGGTGTCATGGAAGGTCCCCAAAGCTAGTGTCCATCTGTGCATGGTGGTCCAGATGTGGCCCCACCTGCGAGCTGCTCACAGAGGCGAGGGGCCCCTGGTGCAGATACGAGGCGTCTTAACTGGTCAGCCAAGCAGCAGGGGGCTCTGCAGCGAACACCCTGCCGTGGAGGGGCTGCAGCTCCTTCCACGCCAGACTCGCTCACCCGACACGCAGAGTGCGGAGGGGAAACCGGGCGGGAGATGGAGCTATGCTGCTCCTTCCATTTCCTAGAAAAGTAACCATTCCCGGGCCGGGAAGACCCCGTCCCTCAGGAGGGAGGGCCCTGGCCACTCAGAGGGACCGAGCCTGGGCGGCTTGAGGGGAAGCCTGGCTTCCGGAGAGAGGGAGCGTCTTACAAGGAGCAGATGAAATCGGAGCGTAGCTGCCGCCTGTCCTACAGATGTCACCTGCCTGGGGACCCTGGGTTTCGGCGTTTTCTCTTCTGCTCCAGTTGGTTCCTCTCTAGGTCCCAGGTGGCCGAGGAGGCTCTGCGATAGCTCACAGCCCCTCCCCCTGAACCCCACCCCTGCCCAACTCTCCCACACCCCCAGCCCTGGCTCGGTCCCTCCAGACCCGGAGCTCCGCCAGCCAACTGGATAAACTAATTAGTGCTTCCGCGTTAATTAATTTCTGTTGTTTGTGTAAGCTAGGGGATTTCTGTTCCTGTGAGGGTCCCGTTAGGTAAGCTTATCTACAAACAAATTAAATCCCGTTTTACCAAATTATGCTGAAATGTCAATCAAAGCAAGGCTTTGCCGCCTGTCTTTCCCTGCAGACCCCGGCCCCCGAGATCGCCCCACCACAAGGAAATCTGTAAAATGGAGATAATGTTCCTGCGTGACGCGGGTTGTCCCTGAGGCTGCGGGAGCACCCACCAGACGGCCCGCGTGTGCGAGCGTGACAGCTGTGTGTTCCGTGCGCCTGGGCGTGAGGGTCACGTCTTCCGTCTCAGCAGCACCAAACTTTGAGGAAACTCAGGCTGTCAGGACACATCCAGAATTGATGACTTTCTTGACATTTACACAGGGTTTCCTTTGGCAAGTTTAAATCAGAGGCACCCTCACTCTGAAAAGTTAAAATGACAGCAACTCTTCTGCTTCAAGGCCGTGGGGAC